CGCGAAATTCAAAACAAACAAACAAAACAATAATTGGTTATTCAAAATATTGCTTAGGTTTTTCGTTTTGTAATTTACACAACATACATTGAAGGATACTTTTCAAATATACGACCTTCTCAATGATAAAACATTTAAAGGAAATTTGAATAACTTTTTTTTTAATCTCCAGAAGGTTCGTGTTGATGCATATTCTTTAATGTATCGATTAAAAATATATATAATGAACTTACAAATTTTCAAAGACAATCGATCCACACTTTTAACACGCTCAGATTTACTGGATATACAAAATATTTCTGTGTTTCAGTGAGCTGAAGATCCGTGACGTAATAGGCGTCTGACTCGTCGAAGCAATATAACCAGTTCACTGTGTGCATGAATACTTCAGTGTGTTTTTTGTTACAAAATTGTTTATTGTGTGGCATTTGGTTGTAATGACACCTGAAACGCTACTCTTTAACTTTCTTTTGTTTTTTCGTTCTGAAGAATCAAGCAATAAGAAAAGCGTGAATTACGAACATGAAGGTTGCATATTTTACGCTATCAGGTACAACGAAATACATAGACTCTACTTTGCACATTTTGAGAGAGCGTAATTTAATGGTGATCCCATAAAAATTGCAGAAATATGATATAATGGAGCTAGAAATAAATTAAAATTAAACGCTATACCAACGATGTTACTTGGGCTGAATGAATGGCTGTCAGATAGTGTAAAATGGAAAACTTTAGGGAAATCACCATGTACGAAGGGAGCTGTCGAAAATGGCGTTTCATCCATCGGTTGTTTACGATAGATCAGGAACTATATAATGATCTTAACTATTTATTCATTCAAAATGTACAACTGTTGATTAGCTATTTTTGTAAGCCTTGTGTGTCTGTACAACCTGTCTGGGCACGAAACACGCTACGTCAACAGAGGGGTCCCACTCAATCAATTTTTCATGTTTTCAGAGTGGAATGACTCCTGTATTCCAATGTTTCTTTCAATGTTCTTTGCAGGTCCTCTGATTGGCTCAAAGTGATAAAATTGAATGTTATTAGGATCGAAATTCATATCAATTTTTATCATAGATGTATTCCAAATGCTAGAAAAGAAACTTAATTCAAGATGGCCTCGCTGTGATGTGTAATGTATTATATGTTAGTGTATTATAGGGTATTTGTCTTTGTCGTCTCCAGATCATGTGAGTAAAAGTAGATTAAACTTCGATTAACTCCATAACTTATTATTATAAGTGTATTTTATGATAATGATATAAAAATATTTCTTGTTGGGTTGGCTTTTCTTGGTCAAGTCAGTCAGTGGTGCAATGGCTTTAGAGTGGTTTAGGACGAACTTCCTATAATATCCTGCTAACCCCAGGAAGGACTTGACATGCTGCTAAGTCATTGGAGTTGCTGAATCTTGTATGCAGGTTAGCTTCTCCTCTTTCATGGCTATTTGTCGGTCGTCCACTTTGTGTCCAAGAACGTCCAGTACAGAATAACCAATGTAACACTTAGATTGTCTGATGGTCAGACCTGCTGCCTTCACTTGCTTGAACAGCTCTCTGAATTTCATCAGATGGTCTTTCATAATGCTCATTGTAAGTGGTTTTGTGAAACAGCATGTGATTGAATGTCACTGCTGAGTTAACTAACCCAAACAGCATCCTCTTGAATGGGTAGCATCTGTTTAGTGTCACAAAGGCTGTCTTCTCTTTAGATCCTGTCTCCATCAGGATCTGCCAATAACCTTTACTGAGGTTGATCTTGGAAAAGAACTTGGCCCAGTCTAGTTTTGCCACAATAGCCTCTGGGTTGCTCATAGTGTTGGAGTCGAAGTTCATCACGAGGTTCCTCTTCTGGAAATCTATCCAGAAATGATTTGAGCCATTCCTTTTCTTCATAATTACCACTGGTGAATAGTAAGCTAAATTTGAAGGCTCAGTGATTCCGGTTTCTAACATTGCCTCTATTTCTACCTTGATCAGGTCTTTTGTCTCATAGGGCATCTGGTAGGGCTTCACCCTGACTGGATCCCTGATCGTGGTCTCAATCTTGTGTTGCACAAGGTCTGTCTTGCCTGGTCTATCTTTGAGGACGTCCATATACTGGCACAGTAGATCTTGTAGCTCTTTCATCTGTTAGCCAGTCAGTTCTTCAGTGATGTAGACGTCTATATATGTCGCATCTCCACATAGTGGTCTTAGGTCCAGTAGGTCTTCATCTTCTATGACAAAGTCACCCTTTTTCTGGTTCTGTGTCTATGACAGCCTCACCTGCAATGTCCATCTGTGCCTTATTAGCTGCACCCATTAGGACTTTTTCTCTCTTGAAGTACCTCTTCAGCCGATTGGTGTGGTAGATCTTGGTCTTCCCATCCACTTCCACATCATAGTCCATTCTGTTGACCACATCCTGCACTTCAAAATATCCTTTTCACTGCAGGATGAGTTTGTTATTGTCTGTGGGCAGCAGAACTAAGACCTGTCTGACCTTGAAAAGTCAATCCTTGGCCTTCTTATAATAGAAGTGCTTCTGACTGCCTTGAGCTCCATACAAACTTGCTTGAGTGAGTTAACAAGTCTCCTCCAGTTGGTTTCTCAGATCTAAAAGGTACTGGTACGTGTTCCTCACTTCTGACTCTTCTTCTCCTGTCCACAGTTCTTTCAGTATCTTCATTGGACCTCATACTGTTCTTCCATACAATAACTTGAAAGGTGAAAATTGTGTACTCACTTGTGGGACTTCTTGGTAAGCGGATAATAATGCCTAAAGGTACCTGTCCCAGTTACGTGATCTCTCCTGGCACATCTTCTGTAGCATGCTCTTTAAGACTCCATTGACTCTCTCACAAAGTCCAATTCATCTGGGGTTGTACAGGGTAGAAAAGAGCTCACTAGTGCTGATGAGTCTGCAGACCTCTTGCACCAATTTTGAGGTAAACTGGGTCCCTCTGTCACGCAATACTTCTTTTTGGAAAGCCGACTCTGCATAATACTTCCAGGATGGCTTATGCTACTCTCTCTATCTTTGGCAATGCTATGGCTTCTGGATAATGTGTCACATAGTTGGCTGTTGTCAGCACATACCAGTTGCTCTTGTCAGATACAAGTGCTAATGGTCTTATCAGGTCCACAGTATACTCTGCTAAATGGCTCTTCTACGAGAGGCATCTCACCCAGTGGCACCTTGGCTACCTTCCCTCTAAGTACTGTCCTTGGCATATGTCACATGACCTACAGAATCTGGTCATATCTCTGATAACCCCTGGCCAATGGAAGTTGCTATTGATTCTGTGTGCATTCTTCTTCACTATTCACTCCTATGTGCCCTCCCATAATGGACTTAAGAGCCAACTTCATCACTTGAGTATAGTATTCTGTTGGTACTATGATCTGTTTAACTTCCCCAGTAGAACTGCCTTGATAGATTCTGTAAAGCACTCCCTTCTGGTCCTCTATTCTATAAGTCCCTTCTCCTTTGTCTTGTGCTAAGCTTTCTCCCAGGCACTGTCCCAAAGTGTCTGCAGTGAAGGGTCTTTCTTCTGTGCTTTCTTCAGTCACCTTTTGAGACTTGCAGGGGCCTGATGTCTTGCTTACTTTTCTTGAGCTCTTGTGATGACTACAGATGCCTCACAGTCTCCTTTTCTGTCTGGCTCCTCCAAACTTCTACTGCCTGGTATATTGCTAATCACCCAGTCGTAGATGGATGCAATCATATACATGTCCTCAAGGTCTCCCATGTGGTATAGTGTCTACTTTATTCTTGCTATGGGAAAGTTTCTCACCATCCCATCAATTAGCACACACACACAGATGTACCTTGCCCATCATCTAGTCATCATATACTAGACTGATTTTCACTGCTGCATTTAGTGTCTCATAGGAATTTCACTTTCTTGTTCCCGACATAGCCTTCACATGGTGGCATTTTGTGGTCTGTTGGCACTCTCGATGTTTGTCACATTCTCCAATCACTACTGGCACTGTTGACCATCAGTAATGTACTGTTTAATAGTGGGGATATCACTTCCCTCTTGTGGCGAATTTGATGAGTTGTCTGTATTCTGTTTCTTCTGGCAAGAGTGTCCATCGTGACATTAACAATTTTCATGTTTCTTGCCAGCACCATCTTTGTAGGTAGCTACAGCTGCTTTACGTTGAGATTTATGTAGTTGCTTGTTGGTGACAGACTTCTGCATCTCTTCTCCCTTTTCTCTGTTAACTTTTTGTCACCTTTAGTGGCATCCTGCTTCTGGTCAGCCACCTCTGTTTCTAGGATTTGCCAGTTATACTACCTCCATGGTCTTCTGTATATTGTTCTGTGCCAATTTGATCGTTTCGTCGATATATTTCGGTTCCCTCTATTTTAGGAACAGTGACGTGTCAATGGAGCACATGATCATGAACTGTTCATGTATTAGTAGATCTGCCATTCCTTCAAAACTATCTTCACATTTGGCCATCTCAGTCCATCTTGTGTAGTGTCCCCGTAGATATGCCACAAACTGAAACATTGTTTCTCCTTTGTCAGGTTTGATTTCTCTGAACTTCTGGTGAAAACCTTTCACTTTAACTTATCATAATCCATAGTATCTTCTGACATCATGCTTACCTACGCTTGTAGGCCTTTTCCTCTGAGAAGAGGGGCTGAGACAGACTGCCCATTCGCCTTTGTCTTGGTTCTAACTTCGGTTTTTTATGTATGAGCCATATTCTTTACAGTAGGTGTCTGTGACTCGTTGGCGATAAATTTCAACACAAAACAAATAACAACACAGTCCACTTGTTTTAGAATATTATATTAAAACAAGTCAAACTTGTATACAAATGTTTTTCAATACACTGTTGGTTACTAGAGTTGTATCCACAGCCTTAAATAATCGTCTCTTTTTCGTCAAAGACCACACAAGCTGGTTCAGTTACTTTAGAACGCAATTTGACGAGACGGATTATTTTTTCTCTACTCTGTTATTATAATACAATCGGTGATACTTTCACTTTATAAATCGCCATTAAACGCTCTTTATGGTTAAACACAGAATCACACAGTCTAGATCCATTTAACTAACAACATATCAATAACTCGAACTACATTTTGGACGCATATTTATAGCTCAACCAAACCCTAGAACGTTCTACACACTGCGAGATATTATGATGCAATAATACTCAATTAAACAACGAGAAAAACTTAGAAATGTCTAGTAACATGACGCAATAATACAACAAGCACTAATTCATAACAATTCAATCACATAATGTAAGATTCGTAAACAGCTGTGTAAACAAACCTGCGATAAATTATCGCTTCTAAAAACAACTAAATTTAACGCTCGCACTATATTTAAACCATCTAAATCACAAAACTCGCATTAAACTTAAACATTCGTGTATATCTAACATCCTTTAAATTTATTATCGATACTTTGGCTTGTCGCCTTCTTTACAACTTGACTAAATATGTATATATATATAAGATTTATTATTCAATTAATGAATCCTATTTGCGCCAAATTACTTATAAGGCTAAACTATAATGAGGTGCTAGTCAAAATCGGTAACATACTTAAGTTTTTTAATGCTATATTTTTTACGTACATGTTTTTATGTATATTCATGTCTAATTATGTGACAGATTAACGAGTAAACTATGCCATTTGTTAAAATTGGTCGTGCATTTTGAGAAATAAGAGTTTTCGAGCTAAAAAGATTCGATGAAAATCTGCAGGATTTCCAAAAAGTCTGGAACCATAGGTGATTTGCAGCTCGAAAGTTCGACTTGGTTGAATGACACCTTCTCAGGACAATGAATTGGCAGACGTAGTCTCTGGGCTTTACTCCCATGGATTTCTTTTTCTGGAAACTGCTCAATGCACATGTGTACAAATAGAAGATCAGGGACACTGAACATCTGAATCAGCGAATTAGCAACGAGTGTCAGACCGTTGATAATGACACGAATATGCATAAAGTCTAAAAAGAGAATGGAAACACCGACTCCAAACTTGTTTCCAATTACAAGGACAGCATGAGGAACATATTTAGCAAAATTCATTGGAGTGTTCTGGTTCCGATTTTTTGAAGATCCAGTATTTCAAAAAATATTTTTATTATTTAATTATATTGTTGTGTAAATGTTGTAAAATTAAGATGATGTAGATTAATTTTTTCACATTAAAAGTGCATTTGGAATTAGCTTAAATTTTTATACCTGCCAGGTTACACAGTACAGTATAGGAGAGAATCTGGACGTTGGCATCAGGCCACAGCTGTACCATCGGAAAATGATTACTACACCGTAACAGGACTTCAGGATGAAACTGCATACGAATTTTACGTAACAGCAGCAAATAAATATGGTGCTGGTGATCCAAGTGAAATTATTACTGTGATAACTGGAGATATAGGTATGCACTGGGATCTAGAGTTCACAAGGGAGAAGTAATAATTAATGTAATATTTTTTTTATCGTAGGTTTTTCTTTCTTTGTATAATCCATAATACAGAGTGAAACAAAAATCTTGTCCTTGATATAATTTTATTACGTCAGTGTTTGTGCTTTAACTGTCTTTGTTTTTCTCTTGTTTCGAAATTAGTTGGAATATAACTAACATTGCAAGAACGTAACCTGGTTTGACATTGTGCCGTAATATAAATAGTGTATTTCAAACAACTATAGATTATTAGAAAGGTTAAGGTGGTGCGTAACTTCTGCATCAATAGTTGGCATCATAATGTTGTAAGCTAGTAAACGATATAACTGACATAGCCGAGGGGAGGATATACTGAATTTTCCCTTAATTTTTAAGTAATTAGCTCATTCTCATACTATCCTCGCCTAGGGAAATGTTTTTCTGACTTATATCACTGCTCACCACATCAGGTTTGAGGAGACGTCAATCATCTATTAAATATTCAAAGCCCCGGATGTTGAGTGGAGGGAAATTATTCTGGAAGGTTTACTTAAATTTGGTTAATTATGCGCGCAGTGAAAATGAAGTCATCGTCCGTCTCGAGTTTGTTTGCAGAGTAAATGAAATTGTCTGACTGGTATTGTTTCTAGATAACTAGAATGTTGTATTCTATTTTTCTTTAAGGGATCGAATAAAGAATAGTAATGTTTAAAATACAATAAGCTTAATACTATAGTCTTATGACAAAGTATAATTGACTGACGCCGCAAATCTATATGATTTCAAGTAAATAGAGTAATGAATGCATATGTGTTTTAGAGCACAGTGTTATTATTGTAACATTGTTAATTACATTTTGTTTACACAACAAAACTTGTTTGAATCACGAACAAAATACGAATATATAATATTTCTGGGTACTTATACATTGAGCTAACATTCTACATCCAATGCCAGCTGTCGTTGTGGAGGACGTATCTTTTGTGTAACAGGTTTTATTTTAAAGCAGTTTTAACTTTTAGTTTTCACATATGTTATTAAAGAAAGTACAAAATATAAAAAGCTAATTTTGCGACAGCAGGAAATTTCTCACTTATTATTAACACCACTAATGTTCTGTTTGAGAATCACTGTAAACTGTTTATAATAACTGTTGTTTTCAAGAACTGAATTATACAATCACAGATGTTTTTAAATGAAATTTTGACGGGTGAAGACTAGTTCATACAACAGATTCAGGCAAAATTTTGTATTTTAGAAGCAGCTATTTGGAAACTGAAGGGATACGTGAGACGAGCATGTTTATAATAGAACGGTTGAAATAGAACGTTCAAACTCTTGGAAAATGTTAAGTAACTTAGGATATACTATTTACATGATACTTAACAGTCCAGTACATGTGTGAATGTTACATCCAGAACAGTGAAACACGCATTTGCATAGGAGAGATAAACAAACCAAAATGTTTAAATTGTCAGAAACTTTAAACAATAGATGAGAGTTATCTCTACAGTTGAATACAAGTTCAAGTTGTCTGGGAACAACTAGCGATAGCTTATTCAACAGCAGAGTGGAGAATGGTATCATAGACAATATACATTATCTGCAATGAAGCATGTTTGAAGGCCATCAAAGTGTGTGTGATGCACTTCAGCCAAGATTTACACAAAATGGATGACATTCTGACTGCTGAAAGGTACAAAAAAAATTCTTATCCATCAAGTCATTCTCTTAGTAATGAAACCAGGGATTCATCTTTCAGCAAACAATGATCCCATGCATGCTGCAAATGTGGGAAATTTATCTAAATAGAAATAAAAAAAAACTGCATCTTCTGCGTATAACACTTTTAGAAAAACTCGAGATTTAGGAATTGTCTTTTAAAAATTGATATAGCTTAAACGGTAAATTATAAATATGCTTTTTGCTTTGAGTGGAATTATTCCTTTGTAGCTTGTATACTGATGATAAGTAGTTTAATTTTTGTCAGCTCTTAAGAGTTCTTGAAGCTATGAAAATAAAGCAGGAAAAAATGGAATATTTACGACATTTTTATTGTATGTATCAGTTATTTGATTTAGTGGCATGCTTTGTTTTCCCGTCTACGATTAAGAGGTTTGATATCATTGTTCTAACAATATTTCATCATAAAACAGATAGTGGGTTTGCTTCATCTTTAAGTGGACAGCGTGGTCACGGTTATATGGATCTTGCCATCATAGTTCCTGTGGCAGCAGCTGTGGCCGCTGTCGGAGTTGTTGTGGCCGTGTCTTGTGTCTGGCAGAGGAAAATTCGCTTGAGGCATAGATTGGAAAGGGGTAAGATCAAAACTCTTGTCACCAGATCACCTGTGTGCAGTTTATTCGTTTTATTCGTTTAAGTTTTATGTGTCTACGTAACATTACAAGCTAAACTTAAAGTAAAAAAAAAAAAAAAAGTTCAACTAATAGTTAATTTAACTAACAAAGTATTTTCCTGCATACACTTACACATGAATAAAGTTTGATTCAACTCAAAGATTCATTATATAATAAGACAAAATTTGCATAGTCTTTCATTGGTTTTATTTTCATATTTTACCAGTTTCTTAAATTCTTTAGTTTTTTTCAAAATCTATTATTCAGTAAAACTAAAAACTTGTATATAATTCATACCAGATTTACCTAAACATTTAGATAAATAAATAAAAACTGGTATAATATATATACCCTATTATTAATATAGCTAAAACCGCATCAACACTTACATTGACTACGTGCTGAACAGAGTAGAGACGTTAAACATGCTTTCTCTAATTTCTGCAATATGTAATCATTTTCTAAATATATATCTATTATATATTAATCGCCTTCACTTAAGGAAGTTTAAAGATAATTAATATAACCTTTTCATAGGTCAGGTTCCATTTTTTAGAGACGTCAAACATGCTTTCTTTAATTTCTGAAACATGTAATCACCTCCTAAATGATATCTATTATATATTAATCGCTTTCATCTAAGGAAGTTTAAAGATAATTAATATAACCTTTTCATAGGTCAGGTTCTTCTATTTTTTAGCTCAACTTCAAAAAGGAGGAGGAAAGAATATTGTAATTTTCAGTTTTTTTATCATATAATTATAAAATGTTTGTTTACTGGTTAACTTTTTGGTTTATCACCTGAGAATTATACAAGTTCATTCCTATATGTAGATTTTCTGTTTCCCCCCCATATATTTCTTTACACATAACACGACTTAAAGTATAAAGAATTTTACTTGAAGATTGGGTAAATTTAGAATTAATAAATAACTTTCTCCCCATTACATATAAAAAAATCATCCTACTGAACATAACCCTTTTTTACAGATACGGTAATTTGGTTTTTAACGTGGAGAAATACGTCCTAAGTTCTTCGCCAGTATTTGCTCTTTTAAAATTCAGCAAAGTTGTTGGTTACCTTCTAGAAAATATTGTTCATTAGACACAGTTTAGTTTGCAATCAAAAATATTTACTTTTCAGTTTGATTTGGTCTAATAATTAAATATTTTATGTTCGTGACGAATATGTTTACCAACAGTTTTTTTTTTTTGTAAAATTAAATTATCAACCTCCTTGTCTTTAAAATAATACAACGTTCATTTAAAGCGATTAAGATTTGTCAGTAAATACATTTTTAAAATCAAATATTTTTATTAATTAATGGGTTTATTTCAATGTATATATTTCAGCGATGTCTGAAAGAACCTACACGCCTTATGCAGGCATTCCTGTGGGACAAGTTACTGTAGGACAACGTTTTCCTGACATGGATAAAACTTGGCCACCTGGTCACTCTGACAACAACCCTCCCCTAAGCAACCCGGACCCCTATTCAGCTGTCCCTCCACGGGTACAGAATGGAGATTTGAGAAAAGCCAGTTCTACCCAAGAGATGAGAACTTATTTTGCTCAGGTTTGCTTTTTTTTAACAACCTTTCTTTTCTAGTATCATTTACTAAGCATACTGAATTCACGTTTTACTTTAAAAATGTTCCTTTTAGTTCAGTTCTGTATAACCGTGCTTTATCATTAAAACTACGTACTACGTTTCGCATTATATTTTTAGTTCAATTAAAAAAAACTTTATGGTTTAGTTGACGGAAACTTAATGTTTTTATTTTAATTCTAAGATCTTTAAAACATGTTGTTCGGACACCAGTTGTTTTAATAATTTTATGTTCGTGTTTTAGGGTTATTATTACTCTATAAAATCATGCTGGAAAGTTTATTCGTCATAACATATAGTTTTAGTAGTTCAAGATATAACTATTACATCATCTTGCTGGCATCATTGAATGTGAATTTAGTGGGCTTGTTTTCTTAATGATACATAATTTTTTCTCGCCTATTTTAAATCACCAGCACACATATTACAAGTAGGTTAATTTCAATGAATTACTTACCAGTAGGTTATGAACAAGTGAACTGCATAAATTATTATTTTAGATAATTGAAATAACAATCCACTGGTATATTGCTCAAACGTTAGTGTTTCCAATGGTGCTATGGTTCAAGAACGTGTTGCTGTATCTGGTGGTTTAACATCTAATAAGAGGAAAGACGCCGAAAAATATCCAAACATCAGGATACAGTCAATTTAAACATTTAAATGTCATACTAATTCAAAACACACTTAGTAAATGCAGAAATACGGATATTTATGGAGATAAGATCTGCTAGAGAATATCTTGAGGAGGTTTTAAAAGTTGTAAACGGGAAAATAATGCAGCAGAAAGCTTAATATTTTACATGTGAACATAGTCGAACATTCACCTTTTGCAAATATTACAAAAATTTAAAGAACAAATGAGAAGTGCCTACGAAACTATAACGAGAGTTTTCGTCGAGAGACGTGACTCTGATAGTTTTCGTCGAGAGACGTGACTCTGGTGGTTTTCGTCGAGAGACGTGACTGTGATAGTTTTCGTCGAGAGACGTGACTCTGATAGTTTTCGTCGAGAGACGTGACTCTGATAGTTTTCGTCGAGAGACGTGACTGTGATAGTTTTCGTCGAGAGACGTGACTGTGATAGTTTTCGTCGAGAGACGTGACTCTGATAGTTTTCGTCGAGAGACGTGACTCGTGATAGTTTTCGTCGAGAGAC